CCAGCCTGAACTGCATAGTGAGACCTTGTCTCAAAAAGACAAAAAAAAAAAAAAAGCCAAAAAGAAAAGGGGGGGAACTGTATATTCATAATTTCTTGAAATCTAAAATTGTTCCAAAATTAAAAGTTTATTTGGGCTGGGGATTTAGCTCAGTGGCATAAGCACCTGCCTTGCAAGCAGGCGGTCGTGAGTTCAATCCCTGGTACCGATAAAAATGAAAAAGACAAAAAAAAAAGTTTATTTAAAAGCAACATTACTGTTAACACATTTATTTTTGTCTCTTGATATTCAAGGGCAAGAATGTCTCTAAGTGTTATTGAGATTGAAATTCTGGGTCATGCGGTGCGTCCACCTTCAGATTGACCAGGAATGTGTTTCCACAGTGGCACTTTGCCATGACGGTGCATAAGAATTCCTTTTGCTTCACATTCTGAGCAAGATTTGCCTGACTCTTTAATTTCTGCCAGGCTCGCGGTAACAGCGTTATCTCACTGCGGTTTAATTTTGCATTTCCCTCATGAGGCTGAGCATCTCTTTCTATGTGTCTTGGCCATTTGTATTTCCTGTTCTGAGAAATGCTCACCCATGTCATTTGCCTTGTTTTAGTTGATTATTTATCTTTTTCTTACTAAGTAAGAGGACTTTGTTACATGTCCAGAAATGAATCCACAGTTTTTGGTTTTTTAAATTTTATTTAAAAGGAAAAAGAGAAAAAACAAAACAGTGTAAGAGTACAAGTAATACAGAACTACAAAAAAAAAAAACAGTAAGAAATCACCAGTTAATAGATTACACATTGTCATCTTAGAGATAGTTGCTCAAGTCACAGTATCAAAGCATACAAAATGGACATTCAAACAGAGAGACTGCAAACAGTTGTGTTCAATGATCCAACCAAAAACATTAATATGGTCAGCTATTTAACATCCCTAAACACACTTGCAGTTGTATCCTTTAGAGCACTTTTTTTCCCTCTCTTTTTTACCACAAAATTTATACATTTTGGGTTTTATTAGTCCTTAGTTCTTATTACTTTTTTTTTGGAAGAGAATAAAGTCAAATATGGCAAAACAAAGCTGTAAGTCAAAACCAAGAATAGACATAGCACATGATGTAAAAACAGAGTACAAGGTTATCAACAGTGATTACCACAATGCCTCTTGTTTCCTTAAAATGAATTGTCTATCTCATTAGGTATTAAAAAGTTGAACAAAACAGTAGAGAACAAGACCAATAAAACTTAAACATTGTAAACATTACAGGACTTCCAAAGGAGATAATAGTCAAACCAGAATGGGCATCTTAGTGAATCTTATTGCCTTTAAAGTAGTTGCCTATACCCAAATCCACGGTTTTAAAGACATGACATAAATACCCAAGGAAACTTCTGTCAAGTGCTTGTATCAGACACTTCTATCCAAGAAGCCCCAAACTTCAGCAGATACCCCACAAGCCAAAGCAGGCTGCCAGTGCTACCTCCTCATCCTGTCAGTGCAGGCTGGGGGTGACATGCATGTTAAAGTGTGTCCATCATCCAGCCCTTGCTTCCCAGGCAGAACTGTACCCAGCTGTGGAAAAGGGTTCTGGGTACCAATTTTTGTTTGGTATTTCAGCAGCAAGCAGAAACACCAACATAGCACCCAGGATTTGGAGGCAGGTTTATATACATCAATGGGCACTGATCAGAACACTCCCAAAATATCAGGCCCTGATCTCTGGTGTTCTAGGTTTTTATAGGCTAGGAAAGCAGGGAGTAGAGAGGCAAAATGGCTTGTCAGTTGGGAATTGGTTTATACAAGTTGCATCATAGTGACCAGCCATGCATCACAGGGACCGTTTCTGAGACAGGAGAACTGGAACTGGAACAGAAACTGTTACCCAGGCAACTAAGAAACTGCAGTGTTCTGGCCGGGGTGGGGGGCACATTTTCTGTTACATTACCCTCCCCGCCTTTTTTAGTCTCCCCAGCAAATCTTTGCTGAGCCTATTACATGTGGTCTCTTGCGACAAGGACCAACTAGAAGCAGTAACATTAGGGTTGTCAGTGGTCCTAGCTAAGTCCCCAATATTGTCTCATTATGGAATTGTTCCCTAAATTGCTTTTCAGTCTTTTTTTTTCTTTTGTACTGGGAATCAAACTCAGGACGTGTCAGGCAAGTGCTGTACTGCTAAGCTATATACCCAACCCCCTAAACTGTTTTTAGGAAGATACATAATTTAGGCCTGCTGTTCTGTAACATTACTTTGGGAAGGTAGTCAGAGAGTTAATCTGATCTAGGAGAGTGTCCAATATGCTTTGGATGCTCATCAAATCTTGGTCAAATGTTTGATTGATTGTTCTGTTCTCTTGAGGCAACCATCTATAGAGTTTAAGGCAAAAAACACAGCTAGCAGTGGGCAGGGAGACAAGGACTGAAAGCAAGCAGTCTAGAATAAATACAGAGCTGTCTTGTGAAAGTTGCCCTCAGGCTTCAGCTGTGCATGGACTGGTCAGCATCCAGAGTGACCAGAGCAGGGCTTTGAGTACACTGTCCCTTCAGAGTGAGCCTCAGAGCAGCTGTCCAGGTAAATTTTTCAGTGGACCTAGGGTTGCATTTCTGAAACTTGCAGAGGTAGTTAATATGTACCCGGGTTACATGTATGTGCAGGAGTGTCCACAGATATAGCTGGTCTGTTAACTGGTTACAAGCTGTTTCTGTAGGGTCATGTTTTATTTCTGTATACTCTATCTGTATAACTTTAAATGAAGAGAGCCCACTATAAGGTATGAAATCAGAGCCAGTGATCCAAATGCAGAAGCCTGAGCTGCCTGCAGGAGTAGAGGTGGCAGCACAGTAGCTTGAGCTTGCAGAAAAAACAGTGAAGACAGGTCTGGCTCTGATCTTCTGGGAGATCAGAGTGATGTTTTTCTGGCTGAGGTTCATATTTCTACCAGTTGGATCCCTGGAGGGGGCTTAAGCCCTGGGCCATATTATGGTTTTTGTGAACTCAAGGATCCAGATTTTATAGAAGCCAGAAGCTCCAAGACATTTGTGGAGTTTCTTTTTTGTAACCAGTTTCTGTCAGATATTTCTAGCAAGATCATTAATCAGAAGTGTTTTTTCAAAGAGAAAACAAGTGTTTGAACCACAAGGAAGTTGAGCACTGATCAGTTGACTTTTGAGTCCAGAAATGGGATTTTGCAAAGAGGCACTGGCTGACAGGAGACAATCAAAGGCAGAAGAATTCTTTAGATCCTGGCAGGTGTACTAGCAGGCTGTAAGTGCTGGGTGGTACCCACAGAAGACTGAGGCAATATATATGGAGGGCAATCATGGCAGCACTGGCAGCTCAGAGTTCTTGAACTGACTTTCCAGGCAGGAGAGGTATATTTTAGCAGTTTGACAGTCTATACTATTTTGTTGGGGAACCATGACAGAGGTGGAGTGGACAAAGATATAGGCTGCTTCAGAGAAAAGGTGCTGGTGATTTGGCTAAATCTGTCATTAGAGCCTCTCCAAAAATAGTGGGAGACATCTTAACCCTTTGTGGCAATTGAGTCCAAGTTAACTAGCCTTTTGTCTCAAGATCTTTCCCATTGAAGGGCCTTATGGGAGCAGCTTGCAAGCAGAGGAAGGCATATTTTAAATGTAGAACAGTCCAGAAAGGGTGTGTGGATTGGGGACTGCTGAGTGCAAGGGAATGGCTGTGTTGTTGATGGCACAGAGATCTTGCCCAAGGTGATTAACAGTCTGTTGGGCTGATGTGTGACCCGATGCCTGTTTGGATTTCCTGTGACATCTGACAGCAACAGGACGGTGGTGAGGTGGATGGTTGATGGGCAGGCGTGGAGGCAAGTGCTTAGTTCATACCTCTGGGAAGAGGGCTTTCAGAACTTTGTGGTTCCTGTCTTGGGCTGATGCAGATGTTATCATCATAAGAAACAGTCAAAGTTGAAAGTGTAAAAAAGGAGAGGGAGGCTGACTGGCTTGGTGAGAAGGAGATGTCCTCCCAGGCTGTAAGTCTGGGTCTGGAAGAAGGGCTGAGAGGAAAGAGTTCCAGTCGCCTCAGTGATGATAAACTTTTTCTGGCAGAGGGAGTTTTTGAAGACAGAGAGTGCTGTTCCATTGTCTGCCAAGAAAATCATAGGTTTGGCCCAAACTGTTGCAATGACTACAGGCTCTCAGGGCTGCAGTCTGTCACATCTATTTAGGCCCAGCAGGTTGCTGATAGTCCAGGTTTTCCTCATTAAATGTGGAACTCAAAAGGAACTGTTGACAGTCATCTTAGGTGAGTGTTAGAGAGTGTTACCTGACCAGACTAGGTGTGTGAGCAGAAGGCTCTAGACAGAGGGCCTCTGTAGCTGAATGCAATGACAATTAGCTGGAACCACTTTAATTGACTGGAAGTAGAACAATCAGGAGCAAGGAGTGAAGCTGTAGGTGCGGGCAGCAACTGTGGCAACTGACAAGTGTGCCAAGGTGGAACCCTCGGGAAGAATAGGCCTCGTTTTCCTTTTTTTCCCTTGAGGTGAAGAGAAAGGTTTGGTTCCATTTTTAACTCAATTAAAGCCCCTTTCCTGCAGCCAGGGACTGTGGGTTTTGACTAATTAATTCTCATTTTATCTCCCTACATTGTGTGTTGTATACCTTTGAACAATGGTGCAACAGACAAAGGGTAGGTGCACCTTAGAGAGAAACCATTCAGATGCTCTGGAGATTCAGCATGACTTAGCTCAGGAGGATGCAAGGCCTTTGTTATGCCATACGTCAACTGCCATGGAACTGCAGGTGAGGGCACAATCAGCCCCTCAACTGGTGCTTCCCAGTCTTGGTACACAGATGAAGCAGCCTATTGCATACACTGTCTGTTCCACTCACACAGTCACTCAGAGGTTAAACATTCCAAACCCCCTTCCCTAGAGAGTGGCCTTAACTAACAAGAGTTAATCAAGCTCTTTTTCTGCTCAAACTGAGCAAGACTTGACAGACTGACTAACTGGGGTGCCCCAGGAGTCTTACCAGAATCAGGCAGGCAACAGATTGTATCTTCCTCCCTTTAGGATCCAGTGTGAACCACTTGAGCAGGGAGCCAGGTATCCTCCTTCAGACCTCCAAGGGAATTTGAGAAACCTTGAGGATGTGCTTTCCCGGTGGAACCTTGAAGAGGTCCTTGCTCCATCTGCAAGAGCCATGACCAGAGGTCAGCATGATTGGTCTTCCTGACTGACACACCAGATGCAACAGCAAGCAGAAACACTGAAACAACACACAGGATTTGGAGGCAGGTTTATTTACGTCAATGGGCATTGAACAGAAACATTCCCAAAATATTGGGTCCTGATCTCTAGTGGTCTCAAGCTTTTATCAGATAAGCAAGCAGGAAGGACAGAGTCAGAATGGCTTGTCAATTGGGAATTGGCTTATACAAGATGCATCATAGTGACCATCTATGCATCACAATGACCAGCCATTTCGAAGAGACCAAAAGTAACTAGAACTGGAACAGGAACTGTTACCTGGGCAATTAAGACACTGAAATACAAGCAGGGTGGGTGGGCATTTGCATTACAGTTCTCTAAGCTCAAGAGTGTCCTAAAGTTTCCAGTACAGCAGCACAGAACCACTTCAGTATGTATATCAGAACATTCCCTTAAAAGCAACAGCCTAGGGGCTGGGGATTTAGCTCAGAGGCATAAGCACCTGCCTTGCAAGCAGGCAGTCATGTGTTCAATCCCCAGTACCAATAAAAAGGAAAAAAAAAAAAAAAAACCAGCCTAAAATAGGCATGAAGGCACAGCACTCGGGAGACTGAAGCAGGAACTTTGAAAGTTCAAAGTCAGCCTGCACAGTGAGACCCTATCTCAAAACAATAAATAAGTAAAATAAAATAAATCACCAGACAAACGAATGCCAAAACAACAGCCTGTGCTTCCATGATGTGTACTATAACCGAAGAAGACAGCAGTGTGTGCTGGACAAGGAAGTTTCATGTGTCCTTTTCTGGGAAAATGGGCCTGCACCTAAGAAGCAAAGGCCAATTCCTCTGATTGCACCCACACGTAGCCCGCCCACGGTGTGGAAACCTCTCCACCCTGCGGGGTCCACACAGGGGCACATGCACATGTGTTGTGTGTCCTTGACAGACATTTCTTGGTTGCCTTCTCAGCATCTGCATCTTTGTTACTATTACCTAGGGCCCCAAATTCCTCAGTTGTTAGTTTGTATGAGATTGAGTCAACCTTTAACTGAAGGAAAGCTAAGGGGAAATGTCTGACCCTTGTCACAAAGACTGTTTCAGTTGAATAATCACAAAAGCAAAACTGGCTTTTTCCTGCTGTTCATGACATGATACATATAGATTCAGGGTTCCAGAATCACCTTGAGACTGCTATGGGAAAACTGCTTGAGGACGGAGTCGAGGGATGGCCAGCCACCCAGCAGGACTGGAAGGCACCTCCACCCCAGGGCCGTTTGGTCACAGAAGCCTGCAAATTCTTTGCTTGCCTTCACCCAGTTTGGATTAGGCATTTGGTCGTGGGAACAGAAAGTATCCCAATCAAGACCCTCCTGAAGCCAGGTGTTGTAATGTGAGCTCTCTGTAACCCCCGCAGCTGGAAGGCTGAGGCCCCACAAATCACAGCTGGTTGGAGGTCAGGCTGGGCGACCTAGGGAGTCAAGGCCAACTCAGACTACATATCTAGACCCTGTGTCCAAAAAAGACGCAAAGAGAAGAGGAAAGGCAAAAGAGAAAAGAGAGGAAAAGAGAGAAGATAGGAGAGGAGAGGAGAGGAGAGGAGAGAAGAGGGGAGGGGAAGGGAGGGGAAGGGAAGAAAGGAGAGGAAGAAAGGAGAGGACAGAAGAGGAAAGGAGGGGAGAGGGGAGGAGAGGAGAGGAGGGGAGGGAAGAGGAGGGGAGGGGAGGGGAAGGGAGGGGAAGGGAGGTAGACCCACCTGAACACAACAAGGTCTCTGCTTTAATCACCGTGTCTCTCCACTGGTATTTTAACTTCCCTTTGAGACAGGTCAATTTAGCTATAATTATGGTAGAATTTAGAATATTTGAAAAATCCTTTACATTTCTGTATTTTATTGTAGAAGTCTGTTTAGTGGTTTATATTTCTTTTTATGCACATCTTTTAAAAAAGAATTCAACTGAGGGGCTGGGGATTTAGCTCAGCGGCATAAGCACTTGCCTTGCAAGCCCATGGTCATGAGTTCGATCCCTGGTACCAATAAAAAAAAAAAGGTCTCTTAAATTTTTCTGAAGTGAAGTTAGCAACAACAACAACAACAAAAAGGAATTCAACTTTGTGGTTTTAATGAATACAAATGTAGGGCAAAGATGTTATCAACCCAAGCATTTTCCTTTGTCATAGAAAGTTTTTAAAGGGGGAAATGTAGGTATTTTTATTACTCAAAGATAAAACTTCACTCTAGGAATCTGAAGGTAGAAGATTACAAGTTTGGGCAACTTCCTGAGACCCTTTCTCAAAAGGGCTGGTGATGTGGCTAAGGGAAAAAAGACCATAGAGTCATTCGGTCCCCAGAACCACTATACAGATATATAATTTTTAAAAAGATACATGGCATTGGAAACATTTGGTTTCACTCTTTGCCATTATAAGGTATTCTCTATCTGATTGTTAGAAATTATTCATTTCCTCAAAGCGAGAATAAATTGGTTGGGGATGCGATCTTGTGCTATGCTCTTTCTCCGCCAAAGGTAAAGCTGCACCTTTTGTAGCCATGAGGGTGCTTCTGCAGTTGGGTTTGCTGGCTCTGGGGGCTGTCTGTGTCTGTGCCATCCCCAAGCAGAGTGCCACTCTGAGGGCGCTGGTAAGAGAGACCCTGACTCTGCTTTCTACTCATCGAACTCTGCTTAAAGGCAATGAGGTAACTGTTCTTATTTCTACAGTTCTTTAATGCAAATCAGTCATTTGTGCAGGAACTTACCATGTGTAAATACCTGTTATAAGAATGAAATTATGAAAAAAGAAAGAATGAAATTATGGGCATTTTAGTAGCATACAGATAAAAGCCACATCAATTGCATGCATTATATTAAGTGTTGTGACTGTTAACACTGCTTTAAAAATGATTTTTTGCCTTTCTTTTCAGACTCTGAGGATTTCTGTTCCTGCACATAAAAATGTAAGTTAAATTATGACTGAATAAAATTTTATGAATAAGTATATTTCATATTTTATACTGTTAAGTCATAGTTTTCATTGGAACTACTGAATTTTCCCTATTTTGTTTCTCTGTGGGGTGGATGTGGCTGTATAAATATCAGCAATGACTTTTTAGCCAGGAAAAGCATTAGATAAATGACTCAAGCTTTTTGATGATGATGTTGGTTCTCCATCCCAAAGAGCCTTGCATCAGGGAAGAATTCCACAGGGTGAAAGGGACCCGAAGGTCTCCCACCGTGGCTATCCTGGTCTCTTTACCTGGACATCTATTGGGAGCATTAGTAAGACAGAGTTATATTTTTAGAGTCATGATCAGTAGACATTAAAATATCTGTGCTCCCTCCCAATAATGCCAACATAGTGAAATAATTACAAGTGAAATAATTACAAATATATGATACCTTTAAAATACATCAGAGCTGGGGCCAGGGATACAGCTCAGTGGCACAGCACCTACCCGGCAAGCACAAAGTCCTGAGTTGGATTCTTGGTACCAAAGAAAAGAAATATATCATGGTTGTTATCAAAGGTAAAATACACTATTTCATTAGTCTAACTAGAATATAGTTACCAGTCTGAACTGTGAAAGGAAACACTGATAGGAGTTTAATTAGTAAGGTACTTGCATTTACCTTCTGAACATTTTAGCTGTGGTTAAATAGGGTTTTTTTTTTTTTAGCAGCCTTTATATGTCTCCTTAGAAATTATACAAACTTCACCTATCTGTTGAAAGTGTCATCTCAGCGTGAAGTGATTTACCATTTGGAAAAGGAACATGCAAAAACTCTTTGAAGAAAGAAAAAATACCAAAACATTGATGTTTTGGACCAAAATTTTAATTGACAAATTAAAATTATATACATTTGCAGTGTACAATGTGATCTTTTGAAATATGTATACATTGTGTGATGGTTAACGGACCACGTTTTAATGCCTTGGGTTTTTTTTAATTACTTCTATTTTTAAAATCTTCCTCATTTAGCACCAACTATGCATTGAAGAAATCTTCCAAGGAATTGACACACTGAAGAATCAAACTACACAAGGGGAAGCTCTGGCAACACTATTCCAAAACTTGTCTTTAATAAAAAAACACATTGACCTCCAAAAGGTAAGTTACAGACGTTCTGTGGGAACTGCGTTTGTCTGAGTGGATCAGCTTTGACAGGAAGGACAGCTTCCTACAAAACTTACTGTCTATCTTTTCCCAGCAAAAATGCGGGGAGGAGCGACGGAGAGTGAAGCAGTTCCTGGATTACCTGCAAGAATTTCTTGCTGTCATAAACACGGAATGGACAATTGAAGGCTGAGACCAAACTGGCTGATTGTATCCAGAGATTTTGGGTTTTTCAAAAATCAAACTTTTTTTTTAGCAGATACATAAAAAAAATTGTACATGTTTTAATGGGGTACCATGTGGTATTTTCATACGTGTTTATATACTATGTAATCAGTTAAATATGTCTGTACTCTCCAACCAATATCATTTCTCAATGGCAAAACACATGCAAACTTTTCTTCTGGCTTTCTGAAATCTACAGTACACAGTCACTGTCTGTAGTCACCCGTGATGTGACAAATGGCACACCAGAAATCTTACTCCCGTTGGACAGCTGCTGAGTATCCATGGGCGGTCTCTTCTCAGGCCTCCCCCATTCTAGTCTTAACGTCTAGGAGGTCAACTTGACTGCACATCTGAGGGAAATCATTTGTACTTGAGGTGCTGTGCCTGAAACAGCCAAAGATCTCGGGCCAGCAAAAAAACATTTTATTGCAGTAAGTCCAAGAGCTGGCCAAGAGTGCGGCCTAAATTGTCAGTATTGTTAAACTTCAGTGACCAACTGGTGCTTTACCACCTCATTACAAGCAGGAAATATAAAATAGTTCAGATGTATTTCAGATGTCAAAATCACCACAATGGAAAAAAAATCACCCATGTGTTTTGCTGCATTTTGCTCCAGGCTAATTTAGCTTAATGTTCTGTAAAATAGCTGTTAACTTAATAGTATTTATCAGATGATTAAGAATTTGGTAAATTAATATTTATTTTGTGCTGTGTAATATTCCAATAAAACAAAAATGGACAACTGTGGTTAATTTGCTGCTGGCTTTGTCCTAATGCTTGAGGCTTGCCAAGTCCATGTGAGGCTATGATTTGGACGGAGGCGAGGATGCATGCGGCTGGATGATGAGTGTGCCCACCTGCTCTGGGGCAGAAGTCCCGGGGTTGCAGGCATGTGGAGGATGTGGATGTATGGGGACCAGGGAGTGGGGTGGGACTGAGCCTGATTCCTCCCGCAGTCGTCCACCCAGAGCCTCGGATGGTGCAGAGTGAATGAATGAATGAATGAATGGGGCCTTCTGCGATGGCTTTAAAATGAAAATGAGCTGTGAAGGCTTCCCCTGGGAAGGGAGGCAGTGCTGGAACCTGTAACTGAGCTTTTTCCAGGCCTAAGAGAAAGAATTTGGTGGGTCGGCATTCTCACCCCCAGTTCAGAGAGGAAGATGGAGGTGCTTGGTGCTTGGTGGTCTGAAGGACTATGGCCTGGGTGAGGAACAGCGGAGGAGGGGTCCCGGGACAGCTCTGCCCAAACAGCAATTCCGGATCACCAGCCAGTTTATGTGGTTTTGCGTTGTCTCTATAACACGCCACCTGTCCCTGAGGCTGACATTCAGCACCTCACCAGAGGTTTTCTGTGAACTTCGATGTACTGTCCATTGTAACTGGAGAGATTTTGTGTCAGTCCATTTTCTGTAACTGTGCTGAAATATCTGAGGCAATAAACTTAAGAAGAGGGAAGGCCCGTTCTGGCTCACACTTTGGAGGTTTCAGTTCGTGGTTGGTTGGGCCTGATGCTTGAGTCTGTGGCAAGGCAGCACAGCATGGTGCAAACACATGGGGCAGCAAGCTACTCTCATGGCTGCTGGGGAGCAAAGAGAGCAGGAAGAGGTGAGCCCCACAATCCCCTTTAAGGATAGGCCTCTAGTGACTTAGCTCCCTCCCACTAGGCCGTGGAAAACACTGACCCGGAGGTTCGGTGGAGAGCGCAAGCTCCTACTCTTCCAGAATGTCCCAGGAATTTCCACACTATGCGCCTTTGCCCATGCTTTACCTGTGTCTCAGGACACTGTCCTCTGCCTCTCCGTGTTACAAGTTTTTCCCTGATGCTGGGGGCTGAACCCAGAGCCTCATACCGAGCCATGTCCCCATTGCTTTTTATTTTTTGAGACAGGGTCTTGCTAAGTTGCCCAGACTGGGCTCAAGCCTCCATTCCCTCCATGTCAGACTCCCAAGAAGCTGGGACTGCAGACAGGCACCACTAAGCCTGGCCAGCGTTATAATTTTTGACCCTACCTTGACATAAGTATCTTTCGAAGTCCGTAATTTACATTAGCATTCACTCTCGTATTTGGGTTACAAACTATATGTATACTGACAGGAATTCACCACAGGGTCGTTCACTGCTTAAACTTCTCTAGGCTCTGCTATTCATTTCTCCCTGAAGGTTTTTTTTGTTCTTTTTTGTTGTTGTTGTTTTGGTACCCGGGATTGAACTCACAACCTTGTGCTTGCCAGGCAGGCACTTATGCTGAGCTAAATCCACGGCTCTCCCTGAGTTTGACCCCAGGCAACCAGTGAAATTATTTTACTGGCTCTGTACTTTTGCTCTTCTTTTTTTAAGGCAGGGTCTCAAAAAAAAAAGAAAAAAAAAAAAAAAAAAGACTGGGTCTCAGGCTGGCCTTGAACTCACAATGACCCTACTGCCTCAGCCTCCCAAATGCTGGAATTACAAGCACCACCACGGCCAGCTTCCATAGCTTTGCCTTTTCCAAAATAACATACAGTTGAAATCATAGAATATGCAGCTTTTAGACTGGCTTCTTTCACTTATTATCATGCAGTTAGGGCCCCATGTATTTTCACAGCTTGAGAATGCATTTCAGTTTGACACTGCATAGTACTTCCTTGTTTAGAGAGAGTACAGTTTGCCCATCTTACCTACTGAGGACATCTTGTTCGCTTCCAAAATTGAAAGCTATAAATAAAGCTGCAATTTTAATAGGTAGATAGTGATGTCTTGTCATTTGTACTTGCAGTTTCTTAATGACATGACGCTGTTTATCTTCCACCTGTCTATCTCTGGTGAGAGGTCTGTTGAGGACTTTTGTTCATTTTTTAACCAGCTAAAAACATATCTGATGCAAATAAAAATGGGAAGAGCTCATTACCAGTAAGTTCTCACTAAAAGGACTTTTCCAGGAACTTCTGGAAGGAGTGAAACATCGCAGAGGAAGGTCTGAAATACAAGGAGGAACTCACACAGTTAATGATTGATGCAGGATGATGTTATCCTCCAATGATTTATTTGATCTCTAGCAGGCAGGCAGGGCCAGAACAGATAATCTTTATGTGAGATACAGCTGATTGGAAATGGGTTTTGTTTTTTTAAAAAACTGATCTATTTTAAGTTATCTCTCATTCTGAGGGTATAACCCTGTGGGGTTCCGGCTTACAGGCCTGGACGTGTGCACACAAGCTCCTCCTACTTGGTGAGCCCTGAGCTGCAGTTTTTGCCCCAGCAGGCCTGTGAGGCTCCCTAAACCTCTTCCGTGTACTCCCCGTCCTCAGTCACAAGATCTTCCCAGGTGTCCTGCTACTTAGCCTATAGACTCAGGCCCTCCTTCTCATCAGTAAATGGCTCATGACGAAAGCTATGCTAAATGTCAAGCTCCCTTCTAGGCTTCCCTTTTCCTTAGGATGTTGTCTTGATTCTTGCCACCAGGTTTTTTTTTCTGTTTTCCTTTCCCTTTGTTGATAGCAGGGATCGAATTCACGACCTCACACTTAACCGGGCAAGCACTCAAACAGCTGAGCTAAATCCCTAGCCCCCTGCCACCAGATTTAAAAGGCTATTTAAACGAAGGGTGGTGGTGCACACTTATAATCCTGCCTACCCAGGAGGCTGAGGAAGGAGGGTCACAGGTTTGAGACCTGCCGAGGAAGTTTAGTGATACACCGTCTCAAAATAAGAGGGCTGAGATACACAGACCATGGGTTCAATCTCCGATACTGAAAGAAGAAAGGAAGGAAAGAGGGGAGGAAGGAGGGGAGGAAGGGAGGGAGGGCAGGTTAACGGACCCGTTTTCTTAGTTCTTGGCTTCAGGGCTAGCCTGTTACAAGCTGGTCTGCCATCGCTTGAACTATAACCATCCTGGCTGTTGCAGAGTCTAGGGAGGTAACCTGAATGGGACTGTAACAGAGAACCAGGAGTGCATGGCTGAAGTCTTTCATGGTGTGATAACTCCCTTCCTTCTTCCAAGAATACGGGATTGCCTTTGATCCACTGTTCTGAGCAGGCAGGATAGTTTTAAGGCCTTCCTCTTGACCCTTACTTCATAGGTCAGAGAACTAATGTTTTCCAAGGATGTTTACCCCATTTGTAAAGAACTGGGAAAAAACACAGCGATTCAGCTCAGGGGCTCAGGCGTTGCCTGGTAAGTGTGAGGTTGTGAGTTCAATGCCTGGTACCAAAAACAAAAAACTGGGGAAATAACCATGAGGTATAAAAAGGATTCATGCTAAAGCACCATTTATCACTTGTGTTACGTGAGTCCTGCTCTAAGCAGAGATTGTAACAATCCTGGAAAGTCCGGGTATTTTCTTTACCAGTGTGCAGCTATCCTGCTGAATGGCTCTCGGCCTCCTCGGTAGAGGCTGAAGGTTTATCTGCACGGGTGTGTTGTGAGGTTACCGGGTTCTCCAGTTCATCGATGGGCAGTGGAGCTAGGAACGAAAGGCCTTGGACATGAGGCATGATTTCCACTCTGCCAGCTGATGACAGCCTGCTACCCGCAAGCTCTTGATTCTAGCTGATGACCCGAGTATGCTGATGGGTCACCCACCTCGCTCGACTGGGGCACCGATTTAATCTGTTAGCCCCCATCATAGATCCCCAGATGCAAAAGGTCAAGACACCCTCACGGTCTTACTGATGTCACCGTGTCCACCGCTCCCGGCCTGGCCCCTTCTAGAGCTCTCATCCTGCCCGGTGATCAGTGATCACAGGGCATCCGTGGCAACGGTGGCTTCCACCAGCTTCAGCCCAGCTTGAGAGGAGCCCTCCAGGGCCACGCCTGCTGCTGTTCACCAGAAGCCATTGTTATGTTAGGAGAAGAGGCACCCTCCGTGCCCCCCAGGAACGCAGCCAGACTGGGGTTCCCACATCAGCGTAACACCCGCATCTCAGCTCTGCTACTCCCTGAGCTGCATGCTCTTCAATCCTCGAGAAGGCGGCCGAGAAACAACCAATTCCGAGTCTTTTAATCCAGCTTCCCTGGGACTGTGGGACACAAGCTGTCTCTCTGAAAGCTGTCACTGACACTGCCAGCATCACAGCCTCTGGCACCTGCCATCCTCTTGTGGTGAGGGCTCCGGTG